AGAGTGGTACAAAAACATCCTCCAGGAGCAACTTCTCTCAACCATCAAAGAACAGTTTGGTGACGAACAATGCCAGCATGATGGAGCACCTTGCTATAAGACGGAAGTGTTTACTAAGTGGCTTGGGCAACAAAACATCGAAAATTTTGGGTTCATGGCCAGGAAACTCCACAGACCTTAATCCCATTAAGAACTTATGGTCAATCCTTAAGAGGCGGGTGAACAAAAAAATCCTACAAATTCTTACGAACTCCAAACATTGGTTATGCAAGAATGGGCTGCCATCAGTCAGGATGTGGTTCAGAAGTTGATTGACAGCATGCCAGGGCAAATTGCAGAGATCTTGAAAAAGAAGGGTCAACACTGCAACTATTGAATCTGCATAAACTTAAAGTAATTATCAATAAAAGCCTTTGACACTTATGAAATGCTTGTAATTATATTTCAGTGTACCATAGTAACATCTGACAAAAAGATCTAAAAACACTGAAGCAGTAGACTTTGTGAAAATTAATATTTGTGTCATTCTCAAAACATTTGGCCAGGGCTGTAGGCCTAAACTATAAACAATACCTTTCTCAAATACAAACTAGTCCATGAGCAGACTGTTGTGTGTTGGTAAGTTCTAGTGTTCACACCATCAGCATTTTGCAACTTCCACATCTACATTTAAATGTTCAAATGTTGACTAACCTGAGAGAAGCAGCAGGAGGTTTTGGATACCTAAAATATAAAAAAGCCAATTTAATTATTTAGCTGTTTTGGCAGTATATAACTCTCTAGTATGTACAGTATATAGTTATTTATCTATCGTTTAGTGCCAGTTCACATATATGCAGATTGGATGCGGTTTGAGCCACATCCAATCCGCATGACACATGAAATAACATTGCTTCCTATGGTGCCCCAGATATGTCCAGTGCACTGGTGGATTCAGTACGAGTTCAGTGATGTTTGTAAAAGAATCCTGTACGATTTATGAGCAGTGAGGTCCAGTTCAGTTGTGGATTACAGACTATAGACTTCCATGGGAACCGTTTCTAAACCGCATATGTGTGAACAGGATAAAAAAAGCCTGACCTAATCCTGTCCTGAACCTGATGTAAACCTGACATTAACCGCTGAACAACTATTGTGAAACCTGAGCTTCAATCCGCACCGCATATGTGGAATCAGCTCTCATAGTGGAATTTGAGGCCAAAAAGGGCTAACAGGTGGGAATTGTAATGAAGAAGGGACATGCTTTGTCTGTGTTCAATTAAAGTTACTTACCTGCCTGTTCGCCCTCTTGCAGTAAGCTGCGCACGTGCAGCTCACTGTACAAATTTGGGAAGTGGACAGAACAGTTGCTGAATTTACCCATTTAAGTGCATGGGGCCATGCCACAACCATCCTGCAACCATATGTAGTGCGGTTGTGGTATGGTGGTTCAACCTTTTTTATGGTTAAAACAGTCAAACAGGGTGGCAGGGGCTGCCGCATGCGAAAATGAGCCCTAATTCTGTTATTAATGTTACTGTTGTAATGTGTTAATTTTATTATTCACCTTCACTCGAGACAGAAACAGTAACTACTGTCTATAAAATGTGTTAAGTATGAACAAGAAAACAGACATTCATAACATTCCATGCATGTTGCAACTATCTGCACTGCTGTAGATTACATTGCTTGATAATCAGTTTTTACATAAGAATCATCATCTTATGCATATCTTAAAGTGTTACTAAACCCGGGACCCTGCATTCACTATATCTGGTCTCCCACAGTACACACAACATGGAAATGCAATTATTTTAGTAAATATAAACTGCTAAATACCTTTTCTTATCACCAGTTAGAGCAGTCTTGTAATTTCAGCAGAGCACTGGTTAAAGCTTTTCTTTCTGCTCTAGGAGGATGAAAAGCCCCTGACCCTTTGTCTGGATAGTGCTGATTGGCCCTGTGCTGATCACATGTACTCTCCCAAAAAAAAAACAAAAAACTACACACTAAACTGAGCATGTGGCTATGAGTTCAGTCTGTTTTATCAGGAGATAAGACGTAGACATTTGAACAAGAGGAGGGGCAGAGAAGAAATGATCAAACTGTCTTTTTACACAATGCAGAGGATTAACCCCTTAGGTTCCACAGTGAGTATAACAAGCATGCTTTACTGCATATACAGACTGATTTTACTGTTGTGAGTTTAGTAACACTTTAAACATAGTTACATAGTTAGTCTGGCTGAAAAAAGACAAAAAGTCTATCTAGTTCAACCATAAAAAAAAAAGTTATAATTCTATACACATAGGTGATCCAGAGGAAGGCAAAAAAAAAAAACAGCAAAGAATGATCCAATTTACTCCTTCTGGGGAGAAAATTCTTCCCGATCCCTGAAAGGTAATTGGATATTCCCTGGATCAAATTTTACCTATAAATGTTAGTATCCAGTTATATTATGTGCATCTAGGAAATAATCCAGGCCTTTTTTAGAGCAATCTACTGAGCTGGCCAGAACCAGCTCTTGAGGGATTCTATTCCATATTTTCACAAATCTCACTGTGAAGAAACCTTTCTGTATTTGTAGATTAAAGCTCTTTTCCTCCAGATGTAAAGAGTGCCCCCTTGTCCTTTGTTAAGACCTCAGGGTGAATAGCTCTACACAGAGTTCACTATATGATCCACTGATGTATTTATACAGTATCTCACAGAAGTGAGTACACCCCTCACATTTTTGTAAATATTTTATTATATCTTTTCATGTGACAACACTGAAGGAATGACACTTTGCTACAATGTAAAATAGTGAGTGTACAGGTTGTATAACAGTGTAAATTTGCTGTCCCCTCAAAATAACTCAACACACAGCCATTAATCAACACACAGCCATTAATGTCTAAACTGCTGTGAGATACTGTACATGTTGATCATGTCCCTTCCTAATCCCCTCTTCTCTAGAGAGAATAAATTCAATTACTTTAATCTTTCCTCATAGCTGAGCTCCTCCATGCCTCTTATCAGTTTGGTTGCTCTTCTTTGCACTTTCTCCAGTTCCCAAATGTTCTTTTTGTGAGTTTGTCCCCAAAACTGAACTGCTTATTCCCGATGAGGTGTTACTAATGATTTGTACAGGGGTAATATGATCTCTCTCTGGGGTCTATACCTCTGTAATACAAGTGAGGATTTTGCTCACTTTTGAAACCGCAGCTTTGCATTGCATGCCATTATTAAGCTTGTGATCTACCAGAACTCCCAGATCCTTCTCCACCATTGATTCCCCCAGTTGTACTCCCCCTAGTATGTATGATGCATGCATATTCTTAGCCCCCAAGTGCATAACCTTACATTTATCAACATTAAACCTCATTTGCCACATAGTTGCCCAATTAAACAGTGCATTGAGGTCGGCTTGTAAATTGAAGACATCCTGTAAGGACGTTATTCCACTGCACAGCTTGGTGTCATCTGCAAAGACTGAAATGGTATTTTTAATCCCAGACCCTATATTGTTTATAAATGTATTAAAAAGTAAGGGTCCCAACACTGAACCTTGGGATACACCACTGATGACCCCAGACCATTCAGAGTATGAATCATTAACCACTACTCTTTGAATACAATGCTTTAGCCAGTTTCCTATCCATTTACATAGTAATTTTCCAAGCCTGTAAACTTTACCTTACACATTAGCTGTGTGTGGGGGAACTGTGTCAAACGCTTTTGCAAAATCCAAGTATACCATGTCCACCGCCACCCCTCTGTCCAAGGTTTTGCTCACCTCCTCATAAAAAGAAATCAGATTTGTTCGACAACTTCTATCTTTAATGAATCCATGCTGTCTGTTCCTTAAAATATTTTTTTCACACAAGAACTCATCTATGTGGTCTTTTATTAAACTCTCCAGAGTCTTACAAATTATAGAAGTACAGTGGCTAAATGGTTAGCACTTCCGCCTGGCAGTACTAGGGTTGTTGGTTTGAATCTCAGCCATGGCAACACCTGCCTGGAGTTTGCATGTTCTCCTTGTGCCTGCGTGGGTTTCCTCCGGGTACTCTGGTTTCCTCCCACACTCCAAAGACATGCTGGTAGGTTAATTGGCTCCTGTCTAAATTGGCCCTAATATGTGTATGTATGAATGTGAGTTAGGGACCTTAGATTGTACACCCCTTGAGGGTTAGGGACTGATGTGAATATACACTATTTATACGTAAAAACACTGCGTAAATTGACGGCGCTATATAAGTACCTGAAATAAATAAATAGAAGTTAAACTAACAGGTCTATAATTACTTGGTAAAGATTTTGATCCCTTTTTAAATATAGGGACCACATTGGCCTTATGCTAGTCCAGTGGTACTATGCCAGTCATTAGAGTCCCTAAAAATTAGAAACAATGACTTTGAAATGACAGAGCTCAATTCTTTAAGGACCCGTGGGTGTATGCCATCCGGTCCAGGTGCTTTATTCTGTCTAAATATTTTTGGATCATATCAATTATGAGCCAATGTGGATCATCTTGGCCTGTGTCAATACCATGCTCTTTATGGACATGAGCTCCCCCATGCTCCTTTGTATACACAGAGCTGAAAAAGGTATTTAATAAATTTGCCTTTTTATAGCTTTTTTAACTTTTTAAAATATTTTCTAGGTAGGAGGAAAAATTATTTACTCTGCAGGTAAATGTGTACTGGGCTAAGTTAGGCTGTGATACAGGCGCAGAGCAATAGCAAGCTGAAATCCATTGTTCCCAACAGGCCCAGTTCATACAAATGCACTACAGCGGTGTCCTCTTGGCGGAAATAAAATGCATCACAGTGCTCTACAGGGCATGTTAAGGAAAGAAAAATAAACTATTTTGGATCCTACTGTAAAAAAAACCCCAAAAGCATGCATATCAGCACAATGCAGGTTAACATACGCTAAATGCAACAGAAGTGGTGTAAATCCAGCTTCAAAATAGAAATCCTGTAAAAACTTTATTTAGTTTAATTTTAGTGATTTTTCTCCTTCACTGATGTGCGCTAATGAGGCTGCAGTGATGGGCACTGATAGGTGGCACTGATGGGCACTGATGTGGAGGCACTGGTAGGTTGCACTGATGGGCATTGACAGGCATCACTGATGGGCACTGAAAGGCAGCACTGATACATGACATTGATATATGGCACTGATAGGCAGCACTGATAGGCATCAGTGACTGGCACTGATTGGCGGCACTGACTGGCACTGATAGGCTGCACTGACTGGCATTGATAGGCGGCACTGACTGGCACTGATAGGCAGCACTGATTGACAGCACTGATAGGTGGCACTGATTGGCAGCACTGATAGGTGGCACTGACTGGCACTGATGGGTGACATTGAAAGGCAGCTCAGATAGGCACGGATATGTGGCATTGATGTGTACTGGTATGCATTGATATGTGGCATTGATGTGGCACTGATGGGCACTGGCACGTGGCACTGATGGGCACTGACAGGTGGGACTTCTGGGGTATGCGCAGTGAGAATGGTAGGACGTCATATGACGTCCTATCATAACGAGAGAACCACCTTGCGCCCGTCATTGTACTATAGGGCGGGCGGAAGGTGGTTAAAAAAGTCCCTGACCCTTTCCAAAAAACGCATCGGGTGAATATGCGGAGATGTAAAAGTGACCCATAGGAAATCATGTTAAATGGACTGTACTGCATTTCTGCAAAACGCTGTGGAAAATGCTTAGGTGTGAACCTATGGTAAGGCTAGGTTCACATGTGTGCGATGCAGGAATGTACACAAACTTGTGCGTTCCTGCAATGCAAAATTATTTTCTTTTGCAGGCGTGTGGTGGTGCCATTAAATATTCCTGCTACTGTGTGCTCCGAATGATGCAATAAAGCTCATTGTAACAAAGTTCCAATTGTTTTGCTGCAGCATGATGGATAGAAAATGTTCTTGCACTTCTCTGATATGATTTTCATGCATAGAGCAGTTCTTCAAAATGAATTGGCTGCCCTAAACATGACATGCAGAAATCACTTGCACTGCAGCACCTGCATAGATGTGACTGGAACCTAAGGCATTGTCTGCTGTGGAAAATGAAACTGTGCTAAGAAAACAAACCTCTAACTTAGCTGTTATATGATCAAGAATAAGAAAGTATGTAAACCCCGATAATGAACTTTTCCTATTTGCCCCCTTATTTGCTCATTTCTGTTCCATGAACACAAAAAAACAAATTGCTGATCCTCCCAGAAACCGTCCTATGCATTATGCAATATTCTCAGGAAGTGGGTTAGGACTACAGAATACCCCCCATGTTATGGAAGAAATGAAAGGGAGTTGTTCTGTAATCCTAACACACTACTATATAGTATGATGAGTGAGCGTTGTTGCCATTGGACAAGAAATCTGTTACTGGCAGGATTACCAGGTATAAAAATGTAAAAAAAAGCCACATAAAAGAAATCCAAATCAGCTATAACATCTAATTACTGGTAAGCTGCAATATGATAAAATTTAAAAACACTTTTAGGCTCCATGCACATTAGCGTTTTTTTGAGCTCCTAGAAGCTATTAACAGCATATTTTTTTTCTGCTCCCAGGATGCTAAATAGTGTGTCCATGCACAATACTTTAGGCTATTAGCATTTTTTGAGCTTCAGTGTCTAGGAGCAGAAATGTTTTTTTTGTAGAGCTTTTTTGGAGCGTTTTTTCCATCAGAAACAAAAATGTTAAATCCTTTTTTTCACTCCAAATGTACTATAAAAATGCTAATAAAATGCTAACATTCCTAAACGCTCCTAAAGGCCACTAAAAATTGCTTTTACCAGTGTTTTTTTGAGCTTAAAGTAAATGCTAGTGTGTATGGAGCCTAAATATCTGAGGGTCCTACATCACGGAACAGACCCCTTCTGTAAGTGTAGAACTTTTTAAAATGCTGTCAAAATCAATTATCCAATCTTGGTGGCTTTTAAAGGATTTTATCTCAGGATAGGAACCAGGTTAATCTCTTAACAGCAACTGTAATGCATGCATAATTCACCTTTATGATGAGCATATATATATCACCTTTCCATTTTACTGCCATTATATCAATGAGTAATGGTGCAAACCTTGAAACTGGTAATTCAAATCCCAGAGAACAACAGAAGAAAGGGTGTGTGGGGTGATTCCGGCCCCTTTGTAACTACAGAAAGGTCATTTTCTTTAGGTGTCCGGTCTTTTGTCCTTTCTTCATTGGTTAGACAAGGTACACTACTGCTCATTTCTGTTGTGATCCATATTGCTTACAAGTTATTATTTATATATAACTTACAAGCTATTATTTACTTACAGATCATCACTTTCACGAACTGCGCTTTTCTTCAGCTTTGTCAGATCATAGAACTGCTGTATTGGGAGGCCCCTGGAGAAACAGAGAAAGTTAGTGAGTATCATAGTTTGATAACTTTTATTTTAAGCATCTAAAGAACATTTCTGTTTACGAAGCAAACAATTTGAAAAGAAGTGACAGACATGCACAACATGTATGGTTAAAACCTATGTTTAGGTAAATTAAATTTAAAAAAAAATCAGCACAAGGGATGGTACTGAAATTTAGGGTGAGGTGTCCCTTGTGCTAGTGCTGGCTGTCTTGGTAAGTTCTCAGCCTCCCCCCAAACCCCCACAGCCACAATTTTCTGGTGCTTCAGGTGTTAATATGAGCGCTGGACCTGCCATAGGCACTTGCCAAGAGTTCAGACTATGCCTTTTCTTTCCAGCCCCTTCCTCTATTCATGAAATCTGTACTATAGCATTCCAGCAATTAAAAGAGCTCTATGAAAAGAGGAGACAGACCTTTTACTCTTTCCATTGTCCTCCATTCATAGAGAGCTTTTCATTGATGGAAGCTATAGTACAGCTACGAATGGAGGGAGGCACAAAGGGCTGACATAGTTAACAATCTTGACAAGTGCCTATGGCTGGTCCAACACTGGTTTACGGCTGTAGGGATACAGGGGTGGGGGGGGGTATTTGGAAGGGAGGGTAGAGGAGTTCGGATTTCAACTATGACAGCAAGCACCAGCATAAGGGACACTTCATTTTACAGGTAACAACTGTCTATTGTGCTTATTATTTTTTCTTATTTACTTAACTTAGGCTTTAAAGTGTAAATGAAGGCTCAAGAACAAAAATAGTTCAGGAGGGAAATACTGGTACCCTGTTTCCCCGAAAATAAGACCCAGTGCTATTTTTGGGAATTGCTAAAGTATAAGACCTACCCCAAAAATAAGACCTAGTTGTGATCAGGGCTTTTTTTTTCAGCTGGAACATGGTGGAACACCATTCCACTACTAGCCCTGCGCACACCCATATCTACTGTCTATTATAAACACAGAAGCGTGGCTGAAGTGACAGCACCATCCGCGCTCCCACAGAACCTCCCTCCCTTTGTACTCACTGTGGGACAGGGAAGGAACAGATATCTGCGGGTGCAGTATGCAGTGTGTTTAGGGGTGGGGCATCTCCTCCTGCAGCCTAATGCATGGAAGCTGATGCCCCAGGGGTGATCACCGGCCAGTGGGGAAGAGGCGGAGCAGTGAGTAAGTGCCCTTGGTGCACTGTGTGGGAATATAGGACCCGAAACGGGAGTTACTATAGAGAGGGGCCAGATGCTGACAGCTGTGTTTTGCAAAGCTAGCTAACCATATGAGGGCAGTGGAAGGGGAGGGGGGATGTGCAAAGGTGAGCTGCAGTCAGGTGTTGCAGAGGTAAATTGAGTCAGGTGGGTTGCAGACAGGGTGCATAGGTGAGCTGCTTCTGGGGGTGGAGAGGTGAGCTGCGTTGCAACCCACCTTTGTACCCCCCAGCCACAGCTCAGCTCTGCACCCCCTGGCCACAGCTGAGCTCTTCACCCCCCAGCCACTGCTCACCTCTGCATCCCCTCTCTGCAACTCACCCCTGCACCCTGTCTGTGGCTTATATCTGCACCCTGTCTGAAACTCACCTGTCAAGTCACCCCTGCAACACCTGACTGCAGCTCACAACTGTCATCAGTCGCCCCTCTCCATAGTAACCCTCATTCACAACTGCCTGCAGCTCACCTCTGCACCCCCTGTCCACACCTGAACATTTAAAAAATAAGACGTACCCCGAAAATAAGACCTAGTGTGTTTTTTTTGAGCCAAAAAAAATATGACAGTGTCTTATTTACGGGAAACATGCAACAAAAACTGTAGTTCTATAACGAATTGTGAATATACCATAAAATTGTATTCTCAAATCACATGACAATCCTGGTGCTCGCTTCCTAATTCAAAAGTTGCAGCCTTGGAGAAGGGTCGCTGCTGGTCTCTAGTTTGTAACGTGATATAGGGCTCAATTCACAAAGCAATATCGTTAACAAAAAGGGGGCCCCTAGATTTCAACTTTCATTTTTGATCAATGACATCACCCAGGTGATCTGCTCCTACTGTATGTATACTTCAGTGGCGTAGACCCAGAGATGTCATTAGGCATGAGGAAAGTGATGGGATTGGTCATATAATGGCAGGCATTGGGTTTTTTCTTTCGGTCAGGACAGCAGCTGTTGTTCATTGCAATTGATGTGGCCTGCATCACTAGACAGTGTAACTGACGATGTACTGTACATGGGGCATTTTTAATTTCTTTTCTTTAAATAAAAGTTTTGTCAAACATTTGGGTGTGTTTATTGTTAAGGTACATTCTATTTTTTTTTTTTTTTAATGGGTAGGGGTACTAAGTACCACTTACTCAATCAAATGGGGGAATATTCCAATAAGCCTCTCGCCTGCAGACCCTGACCACCACCAGGCCAGGGTTGCGGGGAATAGGCCCTGTTCATATTAACAACGCAGGGACAAGGTACCCCCCTATTTTGAGGGCATGTTACCTGGTGTGGTTCAGGCTGGGGGGGGGGGGGGGCACAGACTTGTCTCCCCTGTTTCTAGCCTGCCAGGTGGCATGTTTAAGTAAGGGTCTGGTATGAAATTTGGGGGTGACGTCATTTTTTTTTTTTTTTTTGCGTTGGATTCCCCTTAAAATTTAAACCAGACCCAAAGGGCCTGGTATTGATTGTGGGGGGGTCCCCAACACTATTGTTTACATTCACTTGTCAGCCAGGAATGGACAACTGACAGCTGAATGAGGAGGGCAGGGATTAGTCACTGGTTGTTAGGCCATCGGCAGGTGCCAGCTCCATGACAAACAAAATCTTTCAGCTGGAACTGTCACAGTTAACACGTTTACCATATCCACTGTGTGGTGTCTGGGAAAAAAACACATACACAATAGGCATCTAGTCACTTGGATTCCCAGAGCCCTAAAAGTGGTGAAGGGATTGATCTACACGAAGCACCAGGCCTGACAATCACCCCTTCAGTCTTGCACAGTTGTACAGGCTCCTCTCTTGTACAGAAATTACTTAGTCTGATTTCGCTGCACACTGAACTTCTCATAGAGTGCATTTGAAGCTGCAGCAAGTTATTTAGAGCCTGCCTCATTTCC